TTCAAAATTTGAGCACTGCTTTAGCTTCATCCTACAAATTTTGATATGATGTATTTTCATTTAATTCAGGGTTTGGCAAAATATGGCCTACTATATGTTTTGTAAATGAAGTTTTATTGGAGCACAGCCACACTCATTCTTTTATCTATTATGTTTTGCTGCTTTTGCATTATAACAGCAGAGATGATTAGTTGTGACAGACGCTGTAAGGCCCACTAAGCCTAAAATATTTCCTATCTGGTCCTTTACAGAAAAACTGTATTGACCCCCCATGTACAGTCATGTGCTGCATAACGATATTTCGGTCAATGACGGACCACATATACGATAGTGGTCCCATAAGATTAACACCATACAACCTAGGTGTGTAGAGGCCTATACCATCTGAGTTTTTGTAAGTACACTCTATGATATTGTCATAACAACAAAATCACCTAACAATGCAGTTCTCAGAAAATATCCTCATTGTTAAATGATGCATGACTGTAGTTCAGGATATTTTTTAGTTTCCCTTGAAACTTTTCACTTGATCCATGGATTATTTAGAAATATATTGTTTAATTTCCAAACATTTGGAGATTGTCCAGATGTGTTTCTGTTATTGATTTCTAGATTAATGCTATTACGGTCTGAAAACGCACATTGTATGATTTCTATTTTCTTTAATTAGTTAAGGTTTGTTTTGTGGCACAGAATATAGCCTATCTTGGTGAATATTCTATGTGCATGTGAGAAGAATGTATAGTTTGCTTTTGTTTGATGGAATGTTCTGTAAACGTTCACTAGGTCAATTTGGTTGATAGTGCTATTCAGGTCATCTATATCCTTACTGATTTTCTGCCTACTTGTTCTATGAATTAAAGAGAGAGGAGTGTTGAAGTGTCCAACTATAATTGTGGATTTGTCTGTTTCTCTTTTCAGATCCTATCAAGTTTTGCCTCGTGAATTTTGAAACTCTGTTGTTAGGTGCATACACATTTAGGATTGTTATATCTTTTTGGAGAATCCTTTATCATTATGTAATGTCCCTCTTTGTCTCTGATAATCTTCTTTGTTTTGAAATCTACTTTGTCTGAAATATAGCTGCTCCAGCTTTCATTTGGTTGATACTATTTCATCATATATCTTTATCCCTTTTCTTTTAACTTATCAAAGTCTGTATATCTAAAGTGGATTTTTTGTAGATAGCATATAGTTGGTTCATGCTTTTCAATCCAATCTGACAACCTCTGTCTTTTAACTGGTGTGTTTAGACCATTCACATGGAAAGGGATTGATAATCGTTGGATCAACATCTATCATTTTGCTAGCTGCTTTATGTTACATTTGTTCTTTGTTTCTGGTTACCTCTTTTTCTGTTTAATTGGGCATTTTTTATGATTCCATTTTATCTCCTTTATTGACTTATTATTTATACCTCTTTTTCTAAATCTTATTTAATGGTCACCTTAGGTTTTACAGTATACATATTTAAATACTTTGACCCCACCTTATAATAATATTATACCACTTTACCTATAGCATGTAAGGACCTAATAACATTATATTCTCAAATCTTCCCTCCCATCCCTGTGTCACTGTTATGTATTTTACCATTACATATGCTATAAACACCTAATACATTGTTAATGTTATTACTTTAAACTGTCAGTTATTTTTAGAATAATTAAAAATAAAAATATAGATCATATTTTACTGGAGGTTTTAGAGCAGAGAAATGTCATGGTCCCTTTAAAATGTAACTTTTATCACTGGTTGCTCTAAGGGGGAAGCAGAGAGAACAGCTGGGAGGCTGTTGCTGTAATCTAATTGAGACATGATAGTGGCTTGTTCCAAGGTCATGTTAGACAGAAGAGTTTGTTAGATAGGACATCCAGGAATCTTTTTTATTTACTTCAAAGTTTCACGATTTTTCATGACTGTTCAAATATTTAGATTTAAAGCTACTGCGAACTATTTCATAAGATGTTCACATTAAAACACTCAAAACATGACCAGTGATCCTTGTTGACCTCATAGTTCAGTTTGAAATAATCACAGTAATTGTAGTCATCGTCATTAGATAGAGAGACAAATATGACTGCTTAAAAGGTGTGTTGGCAGCTTTGTAATTTTTCTTTAATTTTGGATTATCTACACATGTTAATCAAAACTGATGCACTTGTCCACATTTTTTGTTGGTGTTTCTTTGTTGGCAAATTTTTAGGTCACTTATTGGAAGTTCATCATATTCTATTCAAAGAATATCAACTAAGTTACATACCTGGGTAATTCTAAAAATATTGTATTTCTGAATTCTAGATTATGTTGCCTTTGTAGAATACGGGAACTTTCAATAAATGTCTGACTTGAAAAAATATATCTACTGTATTTCCTTGTGGTGATTCTGAATAAAAGCATTCTCTATTCTACCTTAATTCAAACTTTCCACTCTTTGCAAAACTGGAAACCCTACATTTATTATCAGTTTTTTCTTTTTAGTTCAGTATTTATTTGGTTTAAAATGCTTTTTAAATTCCTTGTAAATTTCCAAATGTACTATGTCTCCTCAAAAGTAGAGAGTACAATGACCCCATGTGTACCCATCCCCCAGTTTTATCAACTTTTTGCCATACTTTAAAAAATCATCTATAATCTCTTCTTTTGCTGAAATATTTTAATCAAATTTTGATATGTCCTGTCATTTCACCCCTAAATATTTCAGTGACTTAAACAAAACAAAATTAAAAACGGATGTTTTCTTAAGTAACCACATTATATTATCACATCTATCATGATTAACAACAATTCCTTAATATCGTCTAATACCCAGTCCATATTCGAATTTCCCTAATTGTCTAAAAACATTCTTTATGTATTTTTACAGTTAATTTGATCCAGATCTAAAATTGGTTCACTCACCGTATATGGTTGTTTTGTATTTTATATCGCTCTTAACCGGAAGCAGGTGTTCCTATTCCCCTTTTTGTTTCATGCCTTTGTCTTGTAAAAGAAACCTGGTCAGTTGTCCTGTAGTATGCATGGGTTTGTTTAATTTGTTCCTTTATGGTTCTTGTAGACTAGAAGTTAGATCAAAGCTTTGTTTACACTCGAGTTATTTTTTTTTGCAAGAATATTTCACAAGTGGTACTATTTCCTATAGCATTAAATGAGAGGGCACATAATGTTTCATTGTTACACTTTTAGTGATGCTAGGATTGATTGTTAGGTTCATGTGGTGACAGCCTTCTCTTTTTATTGTAAAGTTTCCTGTCAGTCTTCCCTGTGGGATGCTAAAACCATTGATGATTGTTGCCTGATCCAATTATTTTATTAGGAGTTGCAAAATGATCATTTTCTAATCATGTCATTACCTCTGCATTTATTAATGCATATTAACAGAACTTCTCCTTGTACATCAGAGCTGTTTGGTTAACTTGAGATATGCTTCGTGTCAGAAAAGCAGAATAAATAAAGGGAAAATAATTTAGCATCAATTTTCAGAGTAATGAATTGGTGCCCTAGCAACCTACAGTGGTGTCCAGTGAATTTTGTTTCTCTCTCTTTTTAAATATCATTATGAACTCATGACTTTTTATATATTTCAGTATGTTTTAATACATTGCAATCATTATTCTTCTGATCTCACCATGTCTCATATTTGGCCACTGGGAGCCCCTTCAGGCTGGCTCTTGTGTCCTTCTGATACAACCCCATTGGCCTTTGATAACCTCATTGCTTTTTGGCTCAGCAAGATATTCCAGGTTGATCTTACCCATTTCTTGCCCCAGACATAGAATCATCCATTTTTCTGAGAAAATGTTCCCCAGTTACCTCCTTTTCTTTACTCAGCACCTATCTTGATCTACACACTGTGATGCTAAAAAACTCATACTTTAATTTGTTCTCTGTATCTAATTGTACAGTTGACTGTTATATATCCTGCCTTTTCTGTGTTTGTTGTCTGTATTAAATCACAAGCCCTCAGTTATTTTGGTGCCCAGTGTAGTGTGATGTTTTCTCTCTTTCTTGTGCCTCGTCCTATGGCACATGACTACATTCACCTTAGTATTTTATTACTTAGTATTTCATTATTCTCTGTTGTTCCATATTTGTTTAATGGGTTTATGTCTTTTTTCAAGAAATTTGTAATTTCCTGGAGATCAGGACGTCTCCATTACTGTAGGAGATAAAAATCAAATCTATTAGGAATATAGTGATAGCTGAATAAATATAAATTGAATTGAAGGGCATATTTTGTTTGGCTAACTTATGGCCATGTTTACCAACAATTTGACACCAGTAGTGCCAAAGCTACGTTTCAATCCAAGCCAAACTAAATCATGAATCTTTACACCAGAATTTAAAGTACAAGTGGTTTAAAAGTATTCAAATTAATGTGTGGGAAAGGAGGCACAAATGTCCTATTCAGAGAATTAAAAAATAAAAACTTGGTCATTGGTTCTAGAATGAAGTTTTAAGGCACACTCAAGAAAAATACTTTCAGATGGTCATTACTTTTGGTGCCTGGCCTTAATTCCTACTTGGTTTAGCTTCATTATTGGTGGCCCAGAACTTAGCTGGTAAGTAGGAGAGTTGGAAGCAAGGCTGGTTGCCTGGCAAAACCTACTTATAATTGACTTAAATTGCTTTTGATCTTATTTATCATTTTATCAGCTATTTTTTGTACTGCTAAATGAGTAGACTTTTTAGGGTTTTTATAGAAGAATGAAAACCAGAAAAGCCGGATTATTTATAATATTTAAAAATGTGACACTAATCCTATAATAGCATTGAAGCTACTCGTCATGTGATGTGAAGCTACTCGTCTGCATTTATTTGTTTTATGATTAGAGTAGGAAGAAGTAGCTGAAGTGATGTGTCCCATCTGTCTACTTCCTTCTTCCTTTTCTCTTACTCCCAAAGAAGAGGCTGGAAATTCTTCAGGGAAAAATAAAAACATTAATTTTAGGATGGATTTGTATTCATGATAAGACAGCACTTGTTGGATTTTCTTATAGGTCCTGTTATTGCCTTGGAGTTTAATGGAGATGGTGCTGTAGAAGGATGTCAACTTATTGTCAACGAGATATTCAACGGGACCAAGGTAGAAGATTTTATTGACTATATTTCAGTCGAAGCTTTTCATTTCATTTCCTTTTCCTTACAATCAAATAGTACTTTTATACCTGGTATTGCTTGGAATTAAAAAGAAAAACAGCAGATCATGAATTTTAGAACCTGTTGTTAAATAATTGAGAGCTAAGCTTTAGTTTTTTCCTTGCTGAACTAAAATTTTAATTGCTTAAAAATGTACAAAATAAGAAGCTACTTATTAAAAACCTCCAATAATACATAAGTTTCTAAAGTAAAAGTCTCATGAAATGTCTCTTCAAGTCCTTCCTTTTTTTAAAATAGTGATATGTTGAAAGATGTTATATTTCTAGGATTATATATTTTAGACAGACAATCCTATTACCCAGTATTCATTATTATTTGCTTCAGAAATTGAACTTGAACTATATCTAGAAATCATTACATGTAGGTATTTTCTAGATATGCTGATGAGGTTGTTGTATTTAAGAATTTCAGACTTAAATAACTTAGAAACCAAACATATAAGAGGATTAAATGAGTATATATATAACTGATGATTTTTTGATAAATATCTCAGAGGGAATTTTTGGTTTTGTAGTCTGATTTGGCTTATGATTATTTGAATTTGCATAATTGAAAGTATACTTTGTCTTTTGTCTCATTTTATCATCACAGTACTAAGGGAGAGGGCGAATATAATCAAATTGAATAGAAAAGGAACCAGAGAGGGAATGGTTATATGATTTGGAGTTTTTAGATCTGAATGAGTTAAAGATTATCTAATCCAGCTTTCTCATTTTACAGGCGTGGGAACTGAGCCCAGAGAGGTTTATTAAATTTTCAGCATCACACAGCTAGTTTGTGATAAAACTAGAATAGAACCCAGGTCTCCTCTAATTTCTGGCTGACATTGTGAAAGCTTTATTTTATTTTTTTTTTATTTTTTTTTGTGAGGAGGACCAGCCCTGAGCTAACATCCAATGCCAATCCTCCTCTTTTTGCTGAGGAAGACTGGCCCTGGGCTAACATCCGTGCCCATCTTCATCTACTTTATACGGGACGCCACCACAGCATGGC